AAAAAAAAAAAATAGTGGTATGAATATCCTGAAATTCCGGTTTAAAACATTTTACATAAGAATCAGATGAAATAACGAGGAATACCTAAAATACGGAAGTACGAAAAGGCATAAGCGTATTCAAATATATTAGACAAAAAGAAAGCTAATACATTATGCACATGACAAGGTGATTGATCTAAAGATGTTCTTGTGTCAGGGCACAAATTGTTATATTGTTTTTGCAAATAACTAAACATCGTAGGTCAAAAGAGTAGCTTTATAGCAATAATATAACGTAACGTAAAGTCAAAATAAATCTACCTTTGGTTTAAAAATTTTTTGAACTGAGATCAATGCTTTATTTAAATATGGAAACTTATTTATTTTTAGTAAATGCTAATGATTTTGTTAAATTAAAACAATGGTGATATTTATTATTTCTAAATGTCCCGAGAATCATTATGTAAAAAGTCGTAATTTAGAATCTCATTTGGATAATTTCTGATGATATATACTTTAATATCCAACTTTTTAGCATTCGTATTAAAAAAGTTAAAATTTGGGTGTCACGTGTAAACAAATGTCCGCGTACACATTTGTTTTATGAAATAATTCTCGATAAAGAAAAATTGTGGAAACTAGCGACTAAAGATGATTTTTTTTTGTCGTATTGCTACGGATTAGTAGTTGAGACTGCTCAAGCTAATTTGAATCGAATAAATCGATATCAACGAGGGGAACTTAAAAAAATAATAATAACTCGTTACATATGCTGAAATCTCTACAGAAATTATATTGTTACGGCTGAACAAGATAAAGTTATAATAAAAAAGTATACACAATGGATTCATGTTTCAAATCGGAGAAAGGTATTCTAATTTACAGGAACTCTTCAATCGATGAAGATTTATATTTAATCGTACTAGTACAATAGCATACCTTGCTACGGATATAATGGCGGAAAAATTGTGCCGATAGAATTCCTTATTCTTTGTTCGAACTTGCAAGAAAATTTCAGCCCGAAATTATAATGTAAAGTATGATAATGGAATTAAACTAAGAAAAGATTTAAAGGGAACAACAAATAGATTTCCTTAAATTAAAAAAGAAATTACGTAAATGACTTGTACGATGACACCTGTTACATACCTGATCTTATTCTTGAGACTTTTCACAATCGAAATGAACTCGTTGATTGTCTTATCATGGTGCATTTTGGCAGACACGATATTAATGAAATCCAATGCAGGATGTCTAATTTCAGAAGAGCATGCTATGCAACGAATATATTAGAGCGCTTGTTGGAAAGTGTCTAGAAAAGCAGAGCTAATAGCCTCTCCTAAAGGAGAAAAATGTGGAACAACATTAAAAAAGATTTCACCATTGAGTTCATTCTGAATACCGACCAGTGTCTCAACGTCTATTTATTTAGCGATTATGACCATTACCTCTTTAACGGCAGAAATTCATCAGAGCATATGTTTAAAAACTTGTACACCGATTCCAATTATAAGCAGATAGCGGCAGCACTGTGAAAATTAAGAGAAACATGTTACTCCTTGGTGAAACTGGAGTAGGAAAATTCACATTTTATAAACGCCTTTGCAAATTACCTAAAATTTAATCCTTTGGATAACGCAAAATCCGGAGACATGGAAGCATTGATCCAATCCGCGTTCATGCTGACCGATAAAAATTACGAGGAGAACGTCATGCAAGTGGGTGAAAAAGATGATGGAGAACAGTTTGAAAATCTAGAAGCTAAAAGATATCTTAACCCGGTACCCAATCACACATGGTAATTATTACATGGTATTCTTTTTGTACTATTGTATTTTGTTAACCGAACTTGCGTTTGGGTGAAACACGTCCTCAACTTCAAAATTCTTTTCTCATCCGCATATATTCGCAACATAATAAATTGAATTTATTTATTATAACCGGAGGTATTGTTCTCACATCTCGAACACTCTAAGATGAAACATATCGAATGTATTTTACTGTATTTTTTTTTTTTC